CCTCCTCCTCCTCCTCCTCCTCCTCCTCCTCCTGACTTGCTGCTGCTCCTCAAGATCCTCAAGATCCTAAAAGTCCGCTCCTCCTCCTCCTCCTCCTCCTCACCATCTGTGTCTGTGTAATAGTATTTGGACGAGAACACTGAAAGAGTCGCTGACGCAATACTGAGCAAGGGGATGGAAATATTCCCGTCATCTGCAGCGCCGATGAGAAAGAAAGGGAATGAGAAAGAGGAGAAGAAAGACAAGGAGGGAGAGAAGGGCGAGATCGAAGGAAAGAAGTACAAGGCGGAGGAGACAAAGGAGAAGACGGAAGAGGAGGAGGAGATGGAGGAGATGGAGGAGGAGATGGAGGAGGAGATGGCGAGGATGAGGAGCAATAGGAGAAGGAGATAGAGATGGTGGTCGAGGTGGTAGTGTTGTGCTGTGGTGGCAGGGAGGTATCACCCATCCTCTCCTTGATCTGATCAGGGGGGAAGATATTCTTGAGCCCTTGCATGAGCGCGTCGCAGAGGCCGTCTTCGTACTCTGATATAGAGGAGCAAGTAAACAAGCCGAGGAGAGGAGGAGCAGCGAGAAAGTTACCTTCCTGGTCGATCATCCCTGTGATCTTTCCGAAGATCTTGAGCCTCAACGCCTTCTCAAACTCCTTCCTCACTCCCGCAGCTGCTTCATCGTCAGCTCCTCTTCCTTGCCCGGGGGCAGAGGTGCACCGATGTTGGCGAGGTTCTTCAACGCTGGAGAAGGAGAAGCATCAGGAGGCTGAAGCTTGTTGATAGCAGGGAGCAAGAGGTTCAATCCTCTCCTTCACTCACCGATGCTCTTGAGCCCGTACTGCCGGATCAGGAAGTTCTTGAGGAACTCAGGTAGAGGCTCTCTCGGTTTCCCCGTCTTGGTCCCCCGTCAGCTTCTTCCTCCTCGTCCTCCTCCTCCTCCTCCTCCTCCACTTCCTCCTCCTCCTCCTCCTCCTCCTCGTCCTCGTCCTCGTCCTCCTCCTTCTTATCACCTTGTCAAACGTCTCGTCTATCAGCACCTTAGCCTCATAGATCTGCCCGATCTGAGGGAAGAGAAGGTGAGAGGCAGGATGATGAGGAGGCGAGCTGAGGATAAGGAGCGATGAACGGCAAGAGCAAGAACCCAAGAAAGTTGGAGTAGCCAGGGGAGGGCAAACGCCAACTTAGAGGTATGAGGACAGGACACGAGAGATAGAAGGAGAGAATGGGAGGGAGGAGGGAGGAGGGAGGAGGGAGGAGAGAGGAGGGAGGAGGGAGGAGGAGTGGGTGGTCGTCAGACTTGAGCAGCGATCGTCTTGATGGCTGTTGGTCTTCCTCCCTCATACATGCTCATATTTCTCGTTCCGGGTTTCTTCAGCTTCGCACGCCTGCCGTACAGAAAGCTTGAGAAACCTTCCTCTTCCTCTTCCCTCCTCTTCCTCTTCCTCTTCCTCTTCCCTCCTCTTCCTCTTCCCTCCTCTTCCTCTTCCCTCCTCCTTCTTGCCTCTCGTTCTCTTCCTGCTTAGCCTTGATTTCTGCCGCTCGCTCTGCCTTTGAAATCTTCGGCTTTGTCGTCAGCTTTTCTCATCCTCTGCAAGGAATGAAGGTACGTGAACTTCGAAGGCCCACTCTGAGAAAGGCAGCTTCTCTGCCCGAACGATGCAGGTGATGTATCTCAACAGTCTCTTCCTCTGCATCGTCATCGTCATCGTCGTCATCACACAGTGATCGAGGACGCATCACAAGTTGTCTTGACTCGCTGTCAGTCTTGAGCGACAGGTAGAGGCTCTCAGTCGACACGAACTACCAGAAGGCAAGGTGAGCTTGAGAGAACGAGTCCATCGAGTTCAGCCCTACATGCCCGAAGAAGGCCAAGATTGTATCATGATTCCCCCCGAACAAGCGTCTGCGTCCATTATCATCATCAATCTGCCCGCTATGGTTTTCCCAACTTCACCCGATCGTTCTCAGCATCCATTTGCAGCTTGTCCTGTCGTCTATCGAGTGCAACAGAGTCCCGCTCTGTCCACCGGACATTCAGCCGCTCAACGCAGAGCTGCCACGTCAACACTCACCTTAGGAGGGTGATGTCGCTCCGTGAGGTCGAGGAAGTCCCTCTCGATGAACCTCCTCATCAAGTCCCAGACTGCAGCCGTCCGCTCATCCTTCTTCACCATGTAGTCCCACTGAGACTCCTCCTCCTGCGCTTGCTCGTGTGAGACGAGGCAGAGAAGCGAGAAGCAAGACTTGGAACAGCTCGACGAGGTTTTCATGCCTGTCAAGCAATCGCTCAAAACCGATTTCAAATCATGACGGCACAGATCAAGCTCCCCACCTTATCTTGAAATCTGTCTCCAGCCGACTGACAGGATTCTCAATGTTCTCCTTTGAGGATCCAGGAGGCCCACGAGTCAGCGGGTTGTATACACATTCCAATCACCCCACCCCCCGCCTCCTTCCCAATCCCGCCCCCTCCACCTTCCCCTCCTTACCTCCATGCATCGGATCTTCACCCTTTCCCACTCGTCGCCTAGAATCAGAAACGTCAGCCCAGTAAACTGTGAGTCATTTCTCAACCAGAACAGTCGATGAAGAATTGTTCAGATCGTATGGAAGGGATTCCAATCTGATTCATCGCCGGCTGAAGCTCCTGCAATGAAATCTGATCCTTCCCCTTGCCCCACTCTGCCATGAGCTCCTGCGCATCGTGAGAGTGAAAGCAATCAGCGCACAAGAATCGAGTTGACAAGCGACACCTTTGACTTGTCGAAGACACATCGCTGATCTGACTTGAATGTGGAAATCCAAGACTTCACGATGACTTCCAATAACTCAACCTGTCCACCTTGTCATCGCACGACTTGTGAGACGACAGGATGAATGCCTGTTCATTGAGCTTCATCTTCGGCAAGTCTTTCTCAACCGCCTCTTTTAGCAGTTGCGATATCATGATCGGCTTCTCCTCGCTTGAAAGCATGTTCGAGATGATAGCAAGTTTTGTCAGGTCGTCCCCTGCCCCTTGTTCTGACTCGAAGATGAACGACAACAATCTGTGATCGGAATCAGCGAGTGGACACACAACAAGAAGCCTTCTCATGCTCAAGGTAGCACCTCAAGCAGAGAGCTTTTTTGATTGAGACCGGAATGCCTTTCGTCGGTGGAACAAGGAGCGTGTCTACCAGCACGTTCTTGAACTTGGCTTGTTTGAACAGAGAGTCATCAAGAAGCAATCTCTTGAGCGCGTCTATCTTCCCCTGCAACAGAAACGTCTGAGACGAGACAAAGAGAGCGAGCAAGCATGTTTGTACATTGTCATCGAGCTTCAAGAATGGGTCCTGCTGATCGCCGCTCTTCAACGCTTTCAACTGTTGCTCCATCGATGCTATCTTCTCTGACAGAGAGGTGTTCTGGCTCTTCATCGAGGAGGCTTCCTTCTTCTGCTTTGCCAGCTCCTTTGTGAACTTTTCCAGCTGCTCTTTGCACTCTTGGAGCTCCCCCTCTCTCTGGCAAAGTTCGTTCTTACTCGCCGCAAGCTGTTCCCTCAAGAGCTTCAGCTCTCCATCATCCCTTGGCGTTTCTGCAGTGGAGTCAAGGAGCCTCTGCTTCCATTTCTTGTTGAGCCCGTCTAGCTCCTCTCTGAATTCATCCTGTGCGTCTGCAAGCTTCTTTTCAAGCTCCGCAATTCGATTCTTCGCATCTGCGAGCAGGTCCATTAGTTCCGCCTTGTCACTGTCTATGATCTTCAGCTCCTTCGTCGCTATCCGATTGAGAACATCCTTGCAGAGGACGAACAGAGGATAGCTCTCTAGCCGAGTGCGAGGATTGACAGAGCTGATCCACCTACACAATTCTTGGATCTCGATGGCCTCGCCCCGGTCGTCGGCGAACTTGGGTTTCGAATCTTCCATGGGTGGGGATCCGAGGTAGTCAGTGTAGTAGAACCGCAGATAGTCTCTGTTGGTGGTCATGTGGTACTGCAGCTCAGACTCGGATGGGGCAGCAGAAGACCTTCTCATCTTCACGTCATAATGCCGCAGTGCAGGCAATCTCGTCTCCTGTCCTCCTCCTTGCGCATCGAACCTGTACCTTCGCAGCACGAAATCGCTGTTGGAGTCCTCCTCCTGAGAGTCTCTTGTGCTCGATCTCTCCGTCCTCTCCCTCCTCCTCGACGACGTCAGCGGCCCTGACCCATCGAAGCTGGCGAAGTCGAAGCCTCCCATGACTTGCGGAACTAAACCACAATGGACCCACCCCCGTGCTGCAATACACCCCATGGCAACTTCCTGAACCCATGAAAGTCAGGCCTGTAGAGGGGGTACTTTTTTATCCATGTTGAGGCAGCGAAGGTGGGTGGAGATCGGGGAAATCGCAAAGTGACCGACCACCCTACCCCTTTCGTTGTGTACCCCTCCTATCCCCTTCAAAATTAGACCACCCCTCAGACTCTCGTTTCGGAATTCATCAACGGAAACTGCTGTTTCTGTACCCCCACCGTCTTATATAAGAGTACCCACTACACTCCCTCATTTTCCTAGTACACCACCGGCTTGCTTCTCTTGAAAGTACCCACCCAAATGACAGCAACTAGTACCCCATTGGGACAGATGAACCCTGGATCACCCACCCTCCTTCGTGTGATGACAGAAGTTAACCCTACCCTCAATCCCGAGCATGGCGGCACCGGTGATGGCATCGGAATCAGTGAGCCCTAGTCGCTGATCCCGTGGTCGGACCCAGCAGTTGTGCGAGATAGCGTCAAGACAGGCGTCAAGAACGGAAGTGGAGAGGGGGTGGGGGGGAAGGGGGGAAGAAGTGGACTGAGGGACTAGCTGAGATGAGGAAGGGATGGAGGGAATAGAAGTAGAACGCGGAAGAGACAAAGCCACCGATGATCACGATACGATCACCAAAGGGACATGCGATCAGTACATCTGGTCTCAGGACCGCCATGAGGTCCGGGAGAGAGGAGAGCTGGGTTGTGGAGGAGACCAGGGGAGAAGAGAAGTGAGGGAGAAGCGGAGAGCAGGGAAGTGGAGGGGAGCTAGGAAGAAGCTCTGAACGCTCTTGTAGGTGGTCATCAACTTTTTCCTCCCAGCCGGGGTTCGTCGGAGATGCCGAGATCGACGTCGCGAGCATCCCCGATAGGAAGGTAACGGGAGCTGACAAGTCTGAGAGCTGTCCTCAGTGAAGATCTGCGCAGAAGAAGAATCTCTCGACGAATCAGAGCGTGTGGAAGGAGGCGCACGAGAAGTTCCAGGTGAGAGGCTGAGAGAAGAGAGTGAAGTCGTCGAGATGTGTAGCACATGGTTGAGGCGGAGATGTAGAGAGGATGGAATCTTGCTCTACAACTTGATCAACAACACGCTGTCAACATGTCCAACAGCAACAGCATGTTGTTGATCATACTCATGCCCCTCATGAAGGGTTCCGTGTTGACGAGCCTTGCTCACCCAGGAGATGATCAGGAACTCAGAGCCGCGAGAGATTTGATCTTTCAACTCGAAGATGTTGAGTAAGAATCAATGAAATCCAAGTCACCTTCAAGGTCCTGGATGTCTCAATCGCTACATGGACAGAACAGGATCTGCCGTCACTGCTGCGAGAGGGGATGGTTGTGGAAGATTTGAAAGGTTTCCAGAGTCTACATAACATCTAGGGTAACATGATTGGGACTACGAACTTCATTGCCGCGGGGGCTCTGCCCTGACGCACGGCAGCTGCTCGCGGCAGGCGGTCAGTAGGATGTGGGAGGAAGGATAGATGCAGAGCAAGGGAGAGAGAGGGCGGGAGGGAGAGGCAGGAGAGAGTTGGAGAGGGAGAAGGGAGGAAGCGGGAAGTAGGGAATGCCAAGCACAACTTACGTGATTTAAACATGCGACGTACACGAAGGCGTCAAGGGAGATGCTGTCACCCTCACCTGCACCCCAGCAAGGTTGTCAACCAGCCACGTCACGTGCCCCATGTTCCCACCTGTCAAGTCCAGTGCTTGGTTGTACAGCTCGAGAACTTCGTGGTCATCCAGCTTGGGCTGAACTGAAAGGGCGTCAACGTGAAATATCACAGCAGAGGGGGGTAGGGAGGCAGGGCGGCAAGAAGTCAGGCAGGCAGGCAGGCAGGCAGGCAGGCAGGCAGGCAGGCAGGCAGGGACCTGATCGTACGAGGTTGGTGAACTCATTGAAGTCGAGGACATGGTCCTACGGGAACAGTCAAAGCATTCTCCTCCCCCCCTCCCTGCTTGTCTCTGCCTCCATGCCCATCTCATGCGCTTCTCCCCTGGCTTAAACTTGCTGCCCCCTGCTGCTGCTCCTGCTCCTGCTGCTGCTGCTGCTCCTGCTCCTGCTCCTGCTCCTGCTCCTGCTGCTGCCTCGCCTTCACACATCATCTTGCTAGTCGGCCATCTTCAAACTCTTGCCTCTGATAGTGATCCCTTGCTCCTCCTCCTCCTCCTCCTCCTCCTCACCTGGTTGGTGTCAAACTCATTGTAAAGCGCCTCAAAGAATTTCTCGGCATTCAGTTTGCTGTCCTTGTATACCTGGGAGGAGAAGAGACATCAGAAAGATCGACGTGAGATAACGATCAGGTGTTTGTAGCAGAAATTGGAAGCGATGTTTTCGACTCAAATTTTGATTGTGAAGACGATGATGGTGTAGACGATGATGATAACGACGACGACGACTAGAAAGATGGGGGAAGAGGGGGCGGGACGAGGGAGGAGGGACGAGGGACGAGGGACGAGGGAGGGACGAGGGACGAGGGTCGAGGGGGTGAAGGAACGAGGGACCAGGAAGGAGGGAAGAGATAAATACCTTGATTAACCATTCCATCCATGTGTCAATTCCGATCGTCATTGTTTCTGGAGTGCCACCCTGCACATGTAAGAAATGGCAGTTAGTGAGAGGGGAACAAGTTGAAGAGGAAAGGAATGAGATAACAGATCATTCTGGAAAGAGCAGGGAGAGAAGAACGAGCGAAGGGGAAGGTACTTGGCGGGGACAGGGACAGATGAGACAAGGCGGGGATGTGGAGGTGGAAGACGAGGAGGAAGCGAGTGGGAGAACCTCTGCAAGTTCCATGAGCTGTTGCTTGACAACGTCGCTGAAAATTCTCTTTAGCCAGGTAGGCAGCAGTAGAGGTGGTGGTGGTGGTGGTGATGATGGTAACAACTTGGGTATGAAAAGAGTAGTGGTAGGGAGTTGTAGTGAACAAGCGGGAGGAGAAAAGAAAAGATTATGAGGTACCTCAAGTCATCCGTTCCATTCCGAGTTACAATATCTGCCGGCCAGTGAGCACTTTCATTCCTCCTCCTCCTCCTCCTCCTCATCCTCTACCTCCTCCTCCTCCTCCTGACTTGCTCATCATCATCATGACCTGCTCCTCCTCCTCCTCCTCCTCCTCCTCCTCCTCCTCCTCCTCCTCCTCCTCCTCCTCCTCCTGACTTGCTGCTGCTCCTCAAGATCCTCAAGATCCTAAAAGTCCGCTCCTCCTCCTCCTCCTCCTCCCCACCATCTGTGTCTCTGTAATAGTATTTGGACGAGAACACTGAAAGAGTCGCTGACGCAATACTGAGCAAGGGGATGGAAATATTCCCGTCATCTGCAGCCCCAATGAGAAAGAAAGGGAATGAGAAAGAGGAGAAGAAAGACAAGGAGGGAGAGAAGGGCGAGATCGAAGGAAAGAAGTACAAGGCGGAGGAGACAAAGGAGAAGACGGAAGAGGAGGAGGAGATGGAGGAGATGGAGGAGGAGATGGAGGAGGAGATGGCGAGGATGAGGAGCAATAGGAGAAGGAGATAGAGATGGTGGTCGAGGTGGTAGTGTTGTGCTGTGGTGGCAGGGAGGTATCACCCATCCTCTCCTTGATCTGATCAGGGGGGAAGATATTCTTGAGCCCTTGCATGAGCGCGTCGCAGAGGCCGTCTTCGTACTCTGATATAGAGGAGCAAGTAAACAAGCCGAGGAGAGGAGGAGCAGCGAGAAAGTTACCTTCCTGGTCGATCATCCCTGTGATCTTTCCGAAGATCTTGAGCCTCAACGCCTTCTCAAACTCCTTCCTCACTCCCGCAGCTGCTTCATCGTCAGCTCCTCTTCCTTGCCCGGGGGCAGAGGTGCACCGATGTTGGCGAGGTTCTTCAACGCTGGAGGAGGAGAAGCATCAGGAGGAGAGTGAGGGCGGTGAAGCTTGTTGATAGCAGGGAGCAAGAGGTTCAATCCTCTCCTTCACTCACCGATGCTCTTGAGCCCGTACTGCCGGATCAGGAAGTTCTTGAGGAACTCAGGTAGAGGCTCTCTCGGTTTCCCCGTCTTGGTCCCCCGTCAGCTTCTTCTTCCTCCTCCTCCTCCTCCTCCTCCTCCTCCACTTCCTCCTCCTCCTCCTCCTCCTCCTCGTCCTCGTCCTCGTCCTCCTCCTTCTTATCACCTTGTCAAACGTCTCGTCTATCAGCACCTTGGCCTCGTAGATCTGCCCGATCTGAGGGAAGAGAAGGTGAGAGACAGGATGAGGAGGAGGCGAGCTGAGGATAAGGAGCAATGAACGGCAAGAGCAAGAACCCAGAGAGTTGGAGGAGCCGGGGATGGACAAACGCCAACTTAGAGGTATGAGGACAGGACACGAGAGATAGAAGGAGAGAATGGGAGGGAGGAGGAAGGATTGGGAGGGAGCACGAGTGGGTGGTCGTCAGACTTGAGCAGCGATCGTCTTGATGGCTGTTGGTCTTCCTCCCGCATACATGCTCATATTTCTCGTTCCGGGTTTCTTCAGCTTTGCACGCCTGCCGTACAGAAAGCTTGAGAAACCTTCCTCTTCCTCTTCCCTCCTCTTCCTCTTCCTCTTCCTCCCCCTCCTCCTTCTTGCCTCTCGTTCTCCTCCTGCTTAGCCTTGATTTCTGCCGCTCGCTCTGCCTTTGAAATCTTCGGCTTTGTCGTCAGCTCTTCTCATCCTCTGCAAGGAATGAAGGTACGTGAACTTCGAAGGCCCACTCGGAGAAAGGCAGCTTCTCTGCCCGAACGATGCAGGTGATGTATCTCAGCAGCTTCTTCCTCTGTATCGTCATCGTCATCGTCATCGTCATCGTCACACAGTGATCGAGGACGCATCACAAGTTGTCTTGACTTGCTGTCAGTCTTGAGCGACAGGTAGAGGGTCTCAGTCGACACGAACTACCAGAAGGCAAGGTGAGCTTGAGAGAACGAGTCCATCGAGTTCAGCCCTACATGCCCGAAGAAGGCCAGGACTGTATCATGATTCCCCCCGAACAAGCGTCTGCGTCCATTATCATCATCAATCTGCCCGCTATTGTTTTCCTCCTCCTCCTCGCAACCTCACCCGATCGTTCTCAGCATCCATTTGCAGCTTGTCCTGTCGTCTATCGAGTGCAACAGAGTCCCGCTCTGTCCACCGGACATTCAGCCGCTCAACGCAGAGCTGCCACGTCAACACTTACCTCAGGAGCATACTGTCGCTCCGTGAGGTCGAGGAAGTCCCTCTCGATGAACCTCCTCATCAAGTCCCAGACTGCAGCCGTCCGCTCATCCTTCTTCACCATGTAGTCCCACTGAGACTCCTCCTCCTGCGCTTCCTCGTGTGAGACGAGGTAGAGAAGCGAGAAGCAAGACTTGGAACAGCTCGACGAGGTTTTCATGCCTGTCAAGCAATCGCTCAAAACCGATTTCAAATCATGACGGCACAGATCAAGCTCCCCACCTTATCTTGAAATCTGTCTCCAGCCGACTGACAGGATTCTCAATGTTCTCCTTTGAGGATCCAGGAGGCCCACGAGTCAGCGGGTTGTATACACAATCCAATCACCCCAACCCCCGCCTCCCTCCCTTTTCCCCCCCCTCCTCCTTCCCCTCCTTACCTCCATGCATCGGATCTTCACCCTTTCCCACTCGTCGCCTAGAATCAGAAACGTCAGCCCAGTAAACTGTGAGTCATTTCTCAACCAGAACAGTCGATGAAGAATTGTTCAGATCGTATGGGAGGGATTCCAATCTGATTCATCGCCGGCTGAAGCTCCTGCAATGAAATCTGATCCTTCCCCTTGCCCCACTCTGCCATGAGCTCCTGCGCATCGTGAGAGTGAAAGCAATCAGCGCACAAGAATCGAGTTGACAAGCGACACCTTTGACTTGTCGAAGACACATCGCTGATCTGACTTGAATGTGGAGATCCAAGACTTCACGATGACTTCCAAGAACTCAACCTGTCCACCTTGTCATCGCACGACTTGTGAGACGACAGGATGAATGCCTGTTCATTGAGCTTCATCTTCGGCAAGTCTTTCTCAACCGCCTCTTTTAGCAGTTCTGATATCATGATCGGCTTCTCCTCGCTTGAAAGCATGTTCGAGATGGTAGCAAGTTTTGTCAGGTTGTCTCCTGCCCCTTGTTCTGACTCGAAGATGAACGACAACAATCTGTGATCGGAATCAGCGAGTGGACACACAACAAGAAGCCTTCTCATGCTCAAGGTAGCACCTCAAGCAGAGAGCTTTTTTGATTGAGACCGGAATGCCTTTCGTCGGTGGAACAAGGAGCGTGTCTACCAGCACGTTCTTGAACTTGGCTTGTTTGAACAGAGAGTCATCAAGGAGCAATCTCTTGAGCGCGTCTATCTTCCCCTGCAACAGAAACGTCTGAGACGAGACAACGAGAGCGAGCAAGCATGTTTGTACATTGTCATCGAGCTTCGAGAATGGGTCGTGCTGATCGCCGCTCTTCAACGCTTTCAACTTTTGCTCCATCGATGCTATCTTCTCTGACAGAGAAGTGTTCTGGTTCTTCATCGAGGAGGCTTCCTTCTTCTGCTTTGCCAGCTCCTTTGTGAACTTTTCCAGCTGCTCTTTGCACTCTTGGAGCTCCCCCTCTCTCTGGCAAAGTTCGTTCTTACTCGCCGCAAGCTGTTCCCTCAAGAGCTTCAGCTCTCCATCATCCCTTAGTGTTTCTGCAGTGGAGTCAAGGAGCCTCTGCTTCCATTTCTTGTTGAGCCCGTCTAGCTCCTCTCTGAATTCATCCTGTGCGTCTGCAAGCTTCGTTTCAAGCTCCGCAATTCGATTCTTCGCATCTGCGAGCAGGTCCATTAGTTCCGCCTTGTCACTGTCTATGATCTTCAGCTCCTTCGTCGCTATCCGATTGAGAACATCCTTGCAGAGGACGAACAGAGGATAGCTCTCTAGCCGAGTGCGAGGATTGACAGAGCTGATCCACCTACACAATTCTTGGATCTCAATGGCCTCGCCCCGGTCGTCGGCGAACTTGGGTTTCGAATCTTCCATGGGTGGGGATCCGAGGTAGTCAGTGTAGTAGAACCGCAGATAGTCTCTGTTGGTGGTCATGTGGTACTGCAGCTCAGACTCGGATGGGGCAGCAGAAGACCTTCTCATCTTCACGTCATAATGCCGCAGGGCAGGCAATCTCGTCTCCTGTCCTCCTCCTTGCGCATCGAACCTGTACCTTCGCAGCACGAAATCGCTGTTGGAGTCCTCCTCCTGAGAGTCTCTTGTGCTCGATCTCTCCGTCCTCTCCCTCCTCTTCGACGACGTCAGCGGCTCTGACCCATCGAAGCTGGCGAAGTCGAAGCCTCCCATGACTTACGGAGCTAAACCACAATGGACCCACCCCCGTGCCGCAATACACCCCATGGCAAATTCCTAACCCATGAAAGTCAGGCCTGTAGAGGGGGTACTTCCTTACCCACATTAAAAAAAAAAAACAGTAAAGGTAAAGGTGGGTGGGGATCGGGGAAATCGCAAAGTCCGCTGGCGTCGGAGATCAGAAGAACTACCCCTTTCTACCGTCCACCCCTCCTATCCTCCTATACCAACGGAAACTGCTATTTCTGTACCCCCACCGTCTACTGCAGGACTACCCACCATATCATAGTATTTTTCTGGCACACCACCGGCTTGCTTCTCTTGAAATACCCACCCCGAATACATGAATTAGTACCCCTTTACGACACATGACCGTATAACTTGGAGCACCCACCCTCTTGCATTGGATGACAGAAGTTAACCCTACCCTCAATCCCGAGCATGGCGGCACCGGTGATGGAATCGGAATCAGTGAGCCCTAGTCGCTGATCCCGTGGTCGGACCCAGCAGTTGTGCGAGATAGTAAGGAGGGCGAGAGGTGGGGACTGGGGAGGGAGCAGGGAGGAGGGATGGGGAGTGAAGTGACTACAGAGGAAAAGGGAGGGAGGGAGGCCTCCGGAGGGAGGGAGGGAGAAGGGAGGGAGAAGGGAGGGAGGGAGGGAGGGAGGGAGACTCCCGGGAAAGGGGAGGGAGAGATTAGTTCTAGGCGATATTAGGTGTAGGCAGATAAGGTGAAGAGGAAGGCAAATGATGTGACTAATCACAAGACACAAACATCCGATGAGGCCATGGAGCATTCAAAGGGGATAGAATAGAGGCAGACAGATTGACTTCATTACTTCACATGCTCTGTCATCGCCATGGCGTCAAGATTCCTCCTGCTTGTGGAGAGAAGCTTTCTTGTTCTTCAAGTGACTGAGGTACACCTTTGAGATGCTGTCTCCCTCACTCTGCTGCGGGCAAGTCTGTCAGGGATGGGCCATCCCCCAAAGTAGTTTTACCTGAATTCGCAACTCCAACGAGTTGATAGTGTTGATCGTTCCCTTGATCTGCGGACCATACGTTGAATAGAAGGGAGCAAAGCCCTACTAAAATCACCGAAGTTCCGTCCTCCAAGATCACGCTGACAGCATCGCCTTTCTCGAACCTCTCCTTGTCCATGTACAGCACTCCCTTCGATGTGTACACGCTCGAGCTCCCTGCTCGATTCTCAGCCCGATCCTGACGAGCTGACTTCTCGGCAGTTCCCTTGCCGTTGGCTGACGAGTGTTCAGCCCTGCGATACGCAGCACGACCAACACCAAGACCCTCACCTTGAGCATTGTTTGCCTGTAAGATGAACATCAGTATAGCTCGCGAAAAAATTGAGAGAAATACCTTGCTGCTGCTTCCAGCCTTAGCGCTTGTGTTGGTGTTTGACTGCTTCGGTTGAGTTTCAAGTAAGGTTCGAGGGGAGATGTGAAGACGGGAAATCACCTTTGAGGAAGATGAAGCCGGTTTGCTCGTCTTGTCATTAGTAGCTGGAGCGGATTTCTCAGATTTGTTAGCCGCTATACCATGAGATAATCAATCGATGAAATCAATGAAAAAATGGATGGAAAAACATACTTTTGTCCGATTTCGATGAAGAAGTATTTGCTTTTGAGGGAGCTGAATTGCTAGAAACAGGGGCCTTTGTGGTCCAAGATCAGAAAAATCAGCTTTCAAGTTTGAAAGGAGAAAGCATTACCTTTGAGGATGGATTTGTCTTCTTTCCCGAATGATCCTGTTCGGATAATCAGTCGTGTAAGCAGTAGCAAGCGAATGACTCACTTCCTCCGCTTGCTTTGTTTTCGCTGTTTTCGATGATTCTTTCTCTGTCTTAGGCGCCTTGTAACGAGCTCAATGAATAAATGTTCCCGGCCGAGCCCTCCTCTTACCTTGGATCTCAATGTGTCAAGATCTCGGTCAAGGTCATCCTATGCTCAATTCAATTCAAGTTGAGGCAAGCGCACAGGGACAAACCTTTGTGAGGATGACGCGCTGTTGCAGCTCTTGAAGTCGGTATCTGTCAACCAGGGGAGATAAGACAAGACATGCGATTCTTTGCGCAAGATGCAGAGGCTACATGATACTCGAGGCCTTCTCACGATCAGCCAGGAAACCTATTCCAACTCTTTGAGAAGAGCAGCAGGACCAGGAGCACGTCACCGTCAGCTTCTCCTCTCGCCCGAGTTTTGCGCCTGACCCTTGAGGTCATGCCTTTGAGCAGCAAGTTAGAAGCTGACTGAAGGACTTTCAAATAAGTTGAGCACCGGAATTGGCAGCAGTTTCGATCTCCCCTTGAGCCCACTGGATGCTTTCAGTTCAGGCCTCACATGGCAGAGGATTCATACTTGTTGCAAAGTCTCCATTTCTGTTCTCAAGCGATCTTGTGCCTTTGCGCGTGCGCTCTTCAGGCACACTCAGCAACTCTTGCACCCTCTCAAGCTCTAGCTCTCAACCTCGAACTCGTCACATATCGTTCTTCGCTGTGCTTCCACCTGCTTGGCGAGTTAGATCGGTCTTCCTAGGGCCAAAGATCCAACCGAGGACCGCGAGAGATTTCCTTTGCTGTGTCCTCCACTCCCTGAACTGATCCTGAGCGGAAATGGGAAGTAAAGTTCCATCACCTTTCGCCAGCAGTGCATTGAGCTGTTCATCTCGTTTCCGCGAGAGATCCTCCGACTCCCTAATGAGCTCATCATCCGTTCCTGATCATCACCGCATCACACCAACATGTCATTTCGGGGTATCTTTCACCGTTTCTGATATCTTCAAGACGGCTCACAGCTTGTGCAAGTTGTTCCTCTGGACTCAAGTGTTGATTAGTCTTCAATGAAAATCGTCAGTGCGAGGAAGCGGTCACAGCGAGAAAACCTTGTTGTTTTGGTGCTTGTCTCGATCGCTGTTTCCAAATGCTTCCCCAATTCTCCTCTTCGATCCTGATGACATCTTCGAGCTTCCAAGTCACGCTATCTAGTCGATTCCCGCTGACGTCATGAGGACTGCCTCTGTAATCAATGATCACTGTGAGATATTTCCAAACAAGGCAAGGGAGGAACAGAAAGATGCTTAACAGAGGTAATGTACGATGATCTAACTGCTGGTATCAAAGGAACGATTCTCTAACTCGCAACGCAGGCAAAGTCCCACGAAGAGCTCATGATGCAGACAAGGGTGGTACAGCCAGGGGAAGAAACAGGACGAAACAAGTGATGGGCGTGCATGAGAGTGGCTGGGGAAATGCAGGAGGAGCTTCAGCGAAGAGTAGCAACGTGAGAGGAGGATGTAGGTTGAGGCAGCAGCGGAAGGACGAGAGGTCCGAGTCGCCACCCACGTGCCGCCATCGCTGGCGGGCAGGGCGGAGCTTATTTGGTGACGGTCTGAGGGGTGGGGTATATTTGCAGGGGGTGAGTTGTGCATGAAGCCCGTATTGAGGGGTGAAAACGATGGTCATTGACCAGGTAGGTGAGTGGTTGTGGTGTAACTGTGGGGTAGGGTGATAATACATGGGGTGGTGTAGGGTGCCGGCAAAGGGGCAGGGATGGCAGGGTCACAGAGGAGAGAAGGACATGGTTGGAGATAGAGCAGAGAGGAGGAGAGGGAGAGGGAGAGGGAGAGTTTGGAGGGCAGGAAGAGGAGAGGGTGGAGACCGAAGAAAGACACAGCAAAGAGAAGTGATTCGATTCTAGGTGAGAAGCCGCGGAGGGAATCGAGAAACCCCTTGCTTTGAATGCAGATTGCCACTTCATTGTACAAGAAAGGAATATTTAAAAAAAGAAATCTGTATGGACGTTACGAACATGTGTTCGGATTGTCCTGAAAGGTTGTAGAAGAATGGTCGACAATGAGCCGAGCGATATTGTGCGGCTTGCTTGACATGATGCCTGAAGTGAATACAGAGCGACTAAGCAGCCATGGCGAAAACTTCTTCCAGTCCCTTTCTTGAGCATCCGTTAACTGCCACACCTTGAGTCTCCCGGCAACAGACATCATGTCAGGGGTTGATACCTTGGTGGGCATCTCAACCTCAAACTCAACAAGGAGGTCTCCCTTGCTAGAAGGAAAGTTGTGCTCCGGCATACCTTCGCCCCTGACCTGTTGACGACATGTTACAACTTGCTACGGCCGCAGCTGTAGGAGGGCGTCATCGAACCGTTCGGACTCGGCCATGCTGAGTTGTTCCTGAGTCCGACACAGTGACGACGTGTCCATCGAGATGTGAGACCTGTGGAATCTTTTCAGATCTGTCGAGCACCCATGACGAAGAGAGCCGAACCTTCCTCTCGAATCCTAGTAGCGCTTCCCTCAGCGAGAGTCGCATCTTCATCTTCAAGTTCTTTCCATCTCGCCTGCACCATCGAATAAGCAAAGATACAACACGTCCCACGTGAACCCGCGCACTCACCTGAAGAGGGGATGGGGCAGCTGGCGGAGCTTGAACTTAATGTCTCCAGACTTCATGTCAGGGTTCTCGTCCGCCTGACATCGCAAGGAGTCAGCAATTCCACTCAAACTTCGTGTCTCCAGGAGCCGACCTGCTGCTCGTAAACGATCTCATGCCCGTCCGGAGCTCCTCGCTCGATGTCCACAGTTATCGTCTCTGACCCACTCTGGACCTTTCGTCCCTTGCATTTGGGGCATTTGTGCGCCACCTTCTTTCCCTTGCCTCCGCACTCTTCGCACGTTGTCTGCATCTGCTGCACGAAGCCAGGAGCAATCTGACGGGGGTATGAATGTGAGGAGGGGGAAAAAAAGGCGAAAATGCAGGCAAAATGGACATCATACTTCACCTGCTGCCTGACTACCCGCACACCAGACCCGCCACACGCGCTGCAGCGTTTGACATCTTCTGGAGATCTAGCACCGGATCCTATGTCATCCGTTGTTACACGCTGAAGGACCCGATGGATAGAAACAACCTCCGCATTGTCTGCAGATGATCTGCTTCTTGAGCAGAATGTCGGTCTGCTTCCCAAGGTAAAGGTCCTTCAAGCTCACTTCCATCTGCAAATCCCATGAGTTGACATCTGTAGAGTCTTTGATGCAGATGTGAGATTGAGTCCACACGTGACTTAGAACATCCCATTGCTACACCGTTGAAGCATTACCTCCATGTTGATGTCCGGTCCCCGTTGCTCCTCCGAGCCCGCACTTCGATGACCAAACATTTGGGCGAAGATATCAAAAGGGTTGTGTGCCTGTCCTCCTCCTTGCTCGTGTCTCTTCAACCCTTCCTCTCCTTGCTGATCATAAATCCGACGTTTCTCAGAGTCAGAGAGGACTTCGTAGGCAGCTACGACAATCCACAGGTAAGGAAAGGGAACACCTAGAGCAATGCTGATTGAAGTCACCTGCAACTTCCGAAAACCTCTCCTTGGCATCTGGGTCTTTGTTCTTGTCGGGGTGATACCTACACATGACCTGCTTTACCCAGCAGAACCCCTCCACGTGTCTCAACTCACTTGAGGGACAACTTCCTGTACGCAGCTTTGATGGCCTTCTCGTCAGCGTTCCTTGGGACGTTAAGGATCTTGTATAGGTCCTTCTCCGCAGCTGCCTGCATGCTCATGCAGCACAGCAACAACAGCCCCGCCATCGCAGCTCCGTTCCTCCCGAGCTTTCGCACCATTGCCACCTCACCCGCACTGGCTCCACCACCCCCACCAACTCCACAAATAACCCCCATAAACCCCTTGATGAAGAATATGATTTTGAGATGAGTAAATATTTTCAGTAATATAAGTAATATTTTCTGACCTCACCCCACCCTCCTGTGGAATTCTAGAGCCTACAACCTACCCCATTCCACCACTACCCCCTTTTGTATATTGAAATACCCACCCATTCTTCGCAGAACTTCACCACCCTAGTATTTTGCTTTCAAACCACCCCTGTTGAGGATCAAAGGATCAAATGTATCCCCCTTTCATGACCCGTCCTTTTACACGCCACCACCCTGGGAAATGAAGGGTAGTTCAACAGATCGGCCTCCATGTGGAGGGGAAGAGGAGGAAAGCGTTTGCAGACCCTGACGCGACTGAAGCACAAGGGCAAAAGGGGGATAGAGTTGAGGAAAGTAGCTAGATCTCTAGTCTGATCTGAGCGTGAAGCTAGATCTCTAGTCTGATCTGAGCGTGAAGCTGGACCTCTAGTCTGATCTGAGCGTGAAGCTGGACCTCTAGTCTGATCTGAGGGTGAAGCTAGATCTCTAGTCTGATCTTAGGGTGAAAGAGCAAGAACCGGTGACGGCGACCCCATAAAGTCTTCCTCAACTTTCATCTTGTGATCTTGATGATGCAGATGAGTCTTCGGCCAGTGCTCAGCCTCTTGCTTTGCGTCTGCATGATGCAGACGGCTTCCTCCTTCCGACACTTCTTAGTACCGGCGCAGCCGGGTCATGAAGTGCGGGAAGGGAGCTGTAATCAACCTCCTCCATTCGTGAGCATCCCTGTTCCCAAACGACATGTAGGGCACTCGCCAGCTTCGGGCACGAGGTTGACCAAGGCGATCAGAGGAGTGGAGGCGCTGGTGATCATGAGCTGCCGTTGCTGTTGGGCGTGTTGAGAGAGGATGCAGGCTCAGACGATCTCTGCCGTCAAGCAGGAGATCGCAAGGCGAGACGTGTTCCTTCACATTGCCAAGAAGGTGTTCTCAGCCTCAGCGCTCTTGGCGCCGTCTCTTTGCTTTGCTCCTCAACCGGTTCGAACTCTCTCTCTCAGATTTGCCCCCCTGTGACTTTAATGCCCACAGCGAGCGTACGCTGACGAGCCTGCCGCCGCAGCGGACAAGTGTCCGAACCTCAAGGAGATCAGCAAGAAGTCTCGTCCTAGCGATTTCACGGTGTGACACAAGGTTTCTCTTCCGATCTTTTGAGCTCGAGCATGGCAGGAAGACTTGTATCAGGGGATCTGGTATGAGCTTGCATATCACGACGTCACTCAAGCCAACTACTTCTGTACGAGCCCTGCCCTCCCCCGATCGCGTTGACCTCGTCGCTTGCCAGGTGGATGCACACGATTCAATTTCACCATTCGCAGCAACAACATGATCGAGGACATGTTCACTACAACGTGCCCGATGACTGGAGTGCTTCCAGGTTGCGACTCTCTCCTGCTGCTGGGGAGTCAGTGAAGGTCTGAGCAGGCGAGGACGTGGCCAAGAAGATCTATACTCTCAACATGACTATCCAGTATGACAAGTCGAAGCCTGGAGAGTTTCTTGAGAAAGGGTGAGACTCGTTCACTCACACAAGGAAACGCTCCCTGACCTTCCTTCAGCTTCGCTTACAATTTTCCCAACTACGTGCTCTACGTGTGGAAGAAGACTGCAAATGGGAAGACCTACTACGACAGATCGTTGCAGATGCAGGTCAAGTAGACAAGCTGAGGAGATGTCCAATCATGATCTGAAATCTCTGCAGTGCGTGGAGGCTGCGGGAAAGATTCTCTTCGTGGGTATCAACTTCCTTGCAAGGTACGCCATGAACCGTCGAGCCTCGCCTGACCCCCCAACCCTCCAGGGGCCCCAAAGTCAGCAAAGCCGAGCTTGATGAGGTGGGCTTGAGAAACTAGTCTCGCTTGTCCCTGACGCTGCAGCAGATGTTTGACAAGGCCAAGGAGCTGGGGATCGATCGATACGGAGGAGATCGGGTAACCCTCTGCTTCCTCGCCCCCATGCTCAAGTCACCCGTTCTGCAGGCTGGAATGTACATGGTGAAGCACGACGGCTGCGAATACCCTGTGTCTACAGACGCGAGTGTGATGGGTACGTGCTGAAGCCACTGCTGCCCGAGCAGCTGAGAACATGGTGGCAGGTCCACGAAGTGACTTCCCAGGACCTCTCATGGATAAGGTGTGTTTGTGATACAGCTGCTCATGCTTCTCTGATATGATGAACATCGCAGATTGATGTTTACACCTTTCCCGACAAGAGAATCGATGTGTTTGCACAGTAAATTCTCCTTTTCACACGAGGATACTCAACAAGAGCAAAGTGTACACTAAGTTTATCCAAGTAAATAAAGATGAACTTGTTAGATGACGGTCAGATTGACATATTCTGATCTTCTTTCTGTAACCATGTCTTTCGCTTCCACTAGCTGCATCATCAGTATGTCAAAATCCGGTGTTGGGAGGTTGAGAGTAAGCGATTATCACCTGGGAGGTTAATCTGAAACTGTAGGGGAACTCCTCCTTCTCGGCAAGCTCCTTCACTTCCATGTTCTTCGAGTCTTCAAGTGCCTTCTTCGGGTTTTCACCCCATTGTAAGACAGCAGACATTCCATTCTGTAACGAGTCGCCATCGCTCTTAGTGATGGAGACGACTGGGATATTGATATTGGAAACCTTGAAAATCAAAAACATAAGTACATTCCACATGGCATTGCCATCGCGACCGTACCTTTCCCAAGACGTTGAACAAGAAATCTGCATGGTTGACTATGACAACAGCCTTTGCACCAGCTTCCTCTGCACGCCTTGCTTTCTCCGTAAAGGGACAGCCGCCTCGTCCAATTATCGCGATGCATCCCTTGATTTCATCAACATTCTCAAGAGCCCCATTTGCAAGCCATGGTTGTGTGCGAACAATCTTTCCCTTGATGATCATATTGCTGAATTGAGGATGCACCTACCGTACATATCACATCTAATCCAGTTTGACACAAAACAACTTTACCTGCATCCCAAATTCTGCTCGAGTGCAAACTATCTGCCGCCCGCCAACAAATATTCGAGCCAATGCATTCATTGCTGATATCAAATCTTGCGGCCACGGTGGAATCTTCATCTCCATCCCAGAATCTGTTCCAGGCAGGTTGTTAAGCAAACTACAGATGAACCCCAAACAGTACTGACCACTTGCATAAGCATCCAATGTTGGACTGATGCCGCTCTCACATCTTGTCAAATCGCCAGCAACCGAAGATTCAGCACACAAAGAAATTTCATCAGCTATTCCAAGTTGCATCTGTACAGTACAGAAAAGTTCAGACAAGTGCTACATAGTTTCCAGCAGTCATCTGAACCTGTGTAGCAATGGACAGGGGAGAATTGGGTTGAGCACAAGGACAACTTTGCGGTGCTATCGGTGGTGTCTGCTGGAGATGATGCCTCTCAGGAAGCTCAGGTACAGTCCATCGTTTTTCTCTGGTTTCCTTGTTGTAGTAGAACACCTGAAACGAAGCGGTTACAGGCCAACCACACTCAAAGTCATTAGACCTGGTTTCGGCTTCTGGACATTCTCATACTCCATCCAAGTGGAAGGTCCACGGGGCCAACTTGCTCCAACGCCTGTTGGTAAAGTGCCTCCTTGACCTGTTCAAGAGTCAAGGCAAGATGCTGCTAATCCTCAGGAGGACCTTTGAAGAACGGTCTTTCCTGGAGCTCAAATGGGATCGAGTACTTCGATGCTGCCAAAAACGTCACTAAAAGTTGACTTTCCTCATGAAATATGCCCACTTGAAAGTTATCCAAGTCATTATGCGCGTCCTTCAAACTTGCAACTTGACCAGAATCATACCTTTTTGTTTTGGTTTGTATCATACCACCTGAAGTAAGAATTAGCATGCTGAACATCTCATATCGTGATCCAATTGTGACGCACCTGCGTATGAATTTCCAGCATACTCATAGCATGTACATGCAGGAATATCCTCGTGTTTCTTTCCTGCTAATGATAATCGATCTATGCTACAATGTTCATCTGTTTCCTTGTCAATTGCATGCCGAACAGCTTTCAGTTTCTCACCGGTGATGTCTTGGCTGCAGAGACTCGCACTGCAATGGTTCGATACGTATTTCAAAATAGTATTGCTAGAATGATATGTGTTATCATTTCCTCTGGGACTGCACTGAATACTGATTTCCGATCCGTCAGGCAGCATTTCGCCCTCTGCTACTGCAACTGTAATGATTGGAATTGTCCTGGATATGGTTGCTATCACTTCATGGTCAAGGTTACCATCATCGATGATGACGATGCTAGTTGCACCCGCAAGAATGGCCCTTCTGGCATGACTAGCAAAGTTTTCTGATCTTTGATCGATGATGATAATGCAGTCATTGATTTCCTCCAGGTCTATTTGAGGATTTGATAGTATACAATCGACCCTTCGGGCGATCCCGTTGACCCTGCTCACTCTTCCATTGAAATAGATTCGACCAATCAAATTGAAGCTCCCACACGATATTCGACATTGATCTACTCGTTTTGAAGCCATCGTATAGCTGGTCTCAGCCTCCATCGGTGTTGAGAACACTCCACATTGCCTAGATATTCGTTGATCTGAGCTGCTGTTCTGTTTCTCGGAAGACGAATCGTCGAAGCAAGAAATCTTTTGTCTATGATTACACAAAACATCCGAACTCTGTAAAACAAAATAGCTTCAGCATACTTGCTGTTTACCCCTGATAGACGAAAGCTAATATGACTTATGCTCTCTCATTGCTTACCTGGCATGGTGATACATTCTCAAGATTTTCGGCGTTATCCTTTGTGCATCCTTTCAGCAGGTCCTGTGACTTTCCGAGAAGCATTTTGGCAGTCTGGAGCTGATCAGATAACTTTTTGACTCTGGAGAAAGGATGTGAAATAAGTTTGTTGTGGTCTTTCAATAAGTTTATCATGTTCTCCCTCATGAGATTCTGAAACAAATTCAGATTGGCACGAAAATTCAATCAAATTCATACCTCTGTACCACCAGACTGAGAATTTTTCTTACGAAAACTGAATGGAAAAATCTGTTCTTAAATCAGTTTTCAAAACATGTACCAGTGTAGATTTCACGACATTTTTTCTTTTCCAGTCCATTGTGCTTTCATCCTCCGATGCAAATCTTCGTATCCTGCAAGAAAGTATGGGTCAGTGTTGAAATGCTGAATTTCATCTCCATACTTGTTGCCACTGGTTTGGGACCATTCGTTTATGGATTTGAAATCATCTTGCAGTGATTTAATCTCCAGCTGGATGTCTTCAAAGGATTGGAACACTTCTTGATTCATATGCGCAATTTCATGGATTCTGGCATGCATAGATTGTTGGATTTCGTTCTGGTGATTGATCTTGTCCAACTGTTAATTTCAAAACGATCAACCACCCAAAAAGGTGATTTGCAACAATCACCAGAAGATCAGATAGATGTTGAAGCTTAAATATAGCATTCTGCTCGTTTGAATATGACTTCAACAATTCTTCACGATACACTCTTCTTTCCCTGTCCATTTCAATTGATGTTTGATTAAGCTTCGACAGAACTTCGTCCAATCCTTGTAGATCCATCGTTTAGGAATGAACAGAATTAGTGATTACAAACCTGTATGCCTTTGCTCGGAACAAATTTTTCGCAGCTGAGCGATGTTTTCTCCCAAACTTCTCACACTTTGGCACTCATGTCGTTTGATTGGGCCGATATCATAAACCACTTGCTCTCGCAAGACTGAGACATTCACGGTGGATCCTGTTCGACACTTCAATGTGGTTTTATAGCTCACAGGCACAGACCGCCAGGTCCACGAAGTGCATCCTGCAAAGTCTCGATTGGAGCATCCACAACGCAGACATTGTCAATAGAGTGCATGACCTGATGCATGATTAAATGTTAAAAAAGTGCATCCGAGCATTTGCAATGCACATCATTCCGTCGAATGCCAGCAATTTCAGCTGGAGATCCTGGCCAAACTTGCATGACAGCATTTGTGCCAGCTTTTGTCCTAACTAATGCAATCCCGATGCCCTAGTTTCAAGAAGTTAGATAAAGTTTACCTCAACTACCCAACTAGTTATACCACAAAGTCTTGCTTAGCGCTTCGAATATTCGAGGGTACAGGACCTGAAAGACTATCATCAGGAGCAACTTGCGGCAAATGAAAGCTATCACCCAAAGGTTTGCCTGTTCTGAGCCCTGGAGGGATTGAAAGGCTGACACTTCTCATGGTAATTCAAAAAATCATTTTGAAGACCGTCGCTGGTGGCAATTGATCATGATTCCTGTCGTACAATCAGGCAAAAGCAAATAAGATTTCTGAATCTCAGCAAGCCATGCACGAGTTAAACCACGTGAACTGTCTAATGAGTTTCCCTTGTGCCATCGTCACTCGAACGCTCAACAAACATACTCTAAAGGCGTCTTCCGATCGGTTTGAGGCCACAGAGAATATCCCAAGTCAAGACAAGATGTATGTAGTTTAAATGTTTGAAGATGACATCAGACAAGCATGGGATTGTGAAGCTCTTATGGCAGGAATTACGAAGCCACTTTTCAACATTGCATGGCGCCAACGGAGGAGAAAGTTGGTGCGAAGGTAGGGGGTCATACTCGGGGAAACTGGGGGTAGGATACAAATGGTATGATGCAGGAAGCCAAGGTTATGGGGTAGTATCGGTAGGATGGAGGGGTAGGCAAATATGGGGGAAGGTTCTCTTTGAAAAAATAAGTTCAACTTAAATTAATTCACCCCAAAATTACCTCAAAAATTTTGAAACTACAATTAGGGACCTGAAAATTGGGCTGACCGACCAAGTTCGGAAAAGCTCCTTGGCCCAGAGCTACCGGTAGCACCCTGACAGTCAAATCAGGCGGAAGGCAGGGACCCCACCCCTTCCTCAACCATCATGGAGATTTGTGGGCTACAAGGGGGTCTCATCGATCATCTACCCCTACAGCTGACTGTGGAAGTCAACGGGGCACCGGTGTGAGGGTATCATGACTACCGTACCCCTACTTGAATCATCGAAAAGAGCCCCCGATATGACCCCCCTCCCCCCCGCTTCCCTGTAGTACCTGCCGACTCTCCGCGCCGACTCCGATGTTACGGTCGGGGCCTTCTAGGCCCTGACGAGTAGTCGACACCGGACCCAGGAGGACCTTTGAACCTCCGGGGCCCGGGCGGCGCCCGGGCCGAACTGCAAGAAGTTCCTTCCGAAGTTCCGAGTTCCGAGTTCGGAAGTGACGAGAGTCCCGGAGTCCGGACAAGTTCTTCCTACTTTTCTGATGGGTGAGTTGAACCTGAAACCTTCCTTCTTTGCTTCCAATGAACAAGCTCACGGCAGGGCTGGTGGGAATGCTGGTGATGGCGAGAGTGGAGGAAAAGAATGCTAAAGTCACGTTCCTGACCGCCTACGTTCTATCTTGGTAATGGGTGTGCGGACTTGTACTTGTCGACCCTTTCTGAATCCCCAACCGAAACCTGTGCTTGCCTCGTGCTGAGGGGTGTCTGCAGTCATCCATTGATTCCTTGTTTGTTGCCAGGCTCTATTGTAGCTTTGGGTTTATCTGGATGTACAGAGCCATCTTCTTCAAGAACGATAACTCTCACTTTCAATTTAAATCTGCAGAGGGAACAGTGATGACACTTTCGAAAAAAGAGGTGAAAAAACACTATTGGGGTTCAATGTGTTTGACAGATTCATCTTGCTCAGTATGATATCAACAAACTTGGTGAATCATTACAGGCATTTGTGACAATCATGGTATTTGTCGGGTATGTATTGAGTCAACTTCGATCCAGCATGACTTGGAGCGTTTAAGGATGATTGCATATCAACTTGGGGAGTTCCGCGTCGTTTTCATGGTGTCGGTTTACATGGCCTTCTCTATCGCGGAGAGCGAGCTATTCAGGTTGATCTTACAGCATTCTCTTGCATGAGTTCGCGCATGACCGTCTTGTTCTTCAGAATTCACATGCTGGGGCAGTCCGACGAAGTTGAAGAGCTTCGTCGACCCTTTGGACAGAAGAACGACAAGCCGTTCGAGATCAGGAAGAGAGAAGGGCCCACAGAAGATGGCGGTAGCACGCGCATAGACGACAAGAAACAAGGTGAGTGCCTCCGCTGTGATTGGCGGCATCGAGGGTGAGTCCTCCCTGTAGAGAAACAAGATTGATCTTGGAGACCTGATCGGAATGAGGGACACTTGCGAGCAGCATATGTTGAAGTTTAATCATCTAGCAATGAGCTCTACATCTCAACCTAAAATCAGATAATATTCACTGTCATGAAGCAGCCCATGTAGACGGATAGCTCCGAAAGCCCGTCAGCCCTGCTTGCTCGTTCCAGGTAAACTGAGCGCTGTTTCGACGAGAGCAAGGTGCTCTCGAAGTTCCATGATGGTCAAGGCTCTGGGATGAGAAAGTCAGCAGCAACTTCATTCTATTGAGCAGAACCTGTTATGATTGTCCCCACGCAGAGACTCAAGCTCCAGCACCCTGTGTATCGCCTTCTCGTTAGAACAAAGAAACAGGCAGCGATATGATCACCTGTTCGACTCGACTCCGCCAGCTGCTTCATATAAAGATGTCTTGACAGGAATGATGTGATCTTTCCTGAAGAAGGGACCGTCACGTATACAAGTGACGCTTCAACCACAGATGTGCAAAGATCAGCTTACTTGCAAAATTCAATCCATTTGAAACCATTTGTCTTGTGCCAAACTTCAACGGAGTTGAGCTCCCAGCCAGTCACGTGAACGAGCGTTCCTCCCAACCACTTGAGGAACTTTCCTGTTGTCAGAACCAAACGCAGTCACGATGCGAAGCTTAGCCATAAAGATTGACTACCAATCCACGACGTCGGCGAAACTCCAAGAAATTCGGCAGCATGCTCCCTTACGGTACAAGACAACTTAGAGAATGATCTACTACTGCAGATACAGGCTCTGCCATCTCATGTCAAAAGAGGCGCTCCGCCTGAGGAGGGGAAAGAGGGGAATGGGAGAAGGAAGGGGGAGAGGAGAGATGATGAATCTACCTCGGATGATGCTTGACAGAAGCCTGGAGACTGAAAGCTCCTCCGATGGAGTGACCCAGAAGAAGAACCTGTCGACCTCGTCATGCAAACAACGAGCACAGATGTCATCGTCACTTTATCCTCCTTCACTCCCAGCCCCTTCACGACATACTGTATCACACTCATGCAGTCCAGGACGATGCCATCGCGCTCAATCGTCGTGTATCTTCGAGACTGTCATGTCAAAAGGTAGCCAGCAAAACATTACGGGAGTTGCTCACCTTCCAATCAACTCTCCCAATACTTGGCTTCCAAACACAGGGGCCCAAGTGCTCTCATTGACACCCCTGGTAATATCTTTCAATGCCTTTTCATTTTCTTGCTGCAATTTTTCAAATACCGATAGTTGAATACCAAAAGGTTGATGCCCTGCGGATGCTAGTCTCAACGAGTCACACGTGACCTGTACAAGTCAAACCTGGTCGACATAATCTCTTACTGAGCCTGGGTCGATGTACTCCCACGCCTTCCGACAACATGATCATCCATCGCACAAGACCAGAACCTCAAACCTCCCCGTTTCCATTGAACCGAATGATGCTTGGACCATGAATGCTGATTGCGAATGGTTTCAGTGAAAGGATGGGTGGAAGTCATATTATGTCTGCTCGCCTGCCTGTCCCGGCTCCACGCTCCTTCCCTACGTAAGAATCAGTCGAGGAAAACGACAGCGCACAAGAAACACCAAGAAAGAACATGCCGGAAAGATTCACTCCATCTGAAGACAAAGGGAATCATCATGGTTGAATTCTCCTGCAGCAGAGTACCAGGAGTTGAGATGACTACCGGTATGCCTGTCAGCACAAACCGTTACGTCTGAATCGCGCTCCTTATTTTTGTGTTGTGCTGCACCTTCAAAGTTCTTCTGCAGAAAAACAGCATATTTTTTCATCTCGCTGTTTACAGACTCGAAGTTCTTGGGAAACATTTTGGCAAAGATGCCCTGTACCTCAGAGTGATTTGAAATGGAGAGCGAAACATTCTTTCACATGGTTGAAAATCAATTGTGCTGGAAGCACTGGAATTGAAAGGAGAAAGTGCAACAGTCGATGGCATGCGCGACCTTTGCACGGTATCAGGAAACAAACAAGCAGCAGTGGAAGGGCACCTGCCCATGGAAGCGCGATCAAGCAGATCTTGGGAGAGCGGATGATTGCACCGATCCCGTACGTGCGGAGGACCTTGTGAGAGTTATCGGCCCGAGGCTTCCATCGGGTCAGCAAGCAGACCTGGACCGAGTATGCAAGGAGAGCGACGTCATAGAAGAGGAAGCGGCCCCTCCACAACTAATGAGTGTCAGCGCAGGGAGAACCACTCGTGACGCGATCGGACCATGTCTGTGATAGTTGGCCATGTTGCTCTGAAGTTTCTCAAGACCTTTGATCGCTGCGACAGCACCCTAAGCCCTGACTCCATTCCTCTGTCGCTCTAAGCCAGCTGTGAGAATCAGACAAAGATTTGTTAGAATCACAAAGTCAGGAGCAGAACGATTCTTATTCAGCGCGTGTAAAGCTGATTGAAGTCGCTTCTTCCCCTTCCCCTTCCCCTTCCCCTGCATTTCTCATCTCATCGCAACTATCCCACCTTCTCTTCCAATCATCATCTCCTCCCCTCCTCTCCCACCTGGTCTCTTGTCAAACGGCCATCGCGATGTGAACTCAGCTTTTAACCAGGCAACACCGAGCCCCTCTGCTAATTTTTTGTCCTCACAAAGCGCGATGCTGGGGAGGCGAACTTTCGCTGGGATGCTCCCGATGCTCTGCTCTCTCAGCAGCCCTGCAGCATTCCATCCTCCTCCTCCTCCTCCTCCTCCTCCTTCCTCTGCCTCCTCCGCCTTTCCAAGCTCTTCTTACACTCCTGCGGCGTTTTCTCCTCATCAATCATCGTTGACCCTGCATCGAGTAGCAGAGCCTTACACATGCCGCAGCATGTCCTCCTCTCTCTCTCACTCCCTCAAGGGGATGCAACGGGTTGGAGTTGTGGGTGCGGGTATAGCCGGAAGCTCCCTGGCTCGTGTACTTCAAGATGCTGGCGCCTCGGTTTCCGTCTTCGAGATGGTTGGCGTGTCTCACATGCGATCTGAGGGTGACTCGATGACAGGGGAGGGGAGCTGGAGGTCGCATGGCGACGAGAAAGACAAGAGAGCATCCAGGACTTGCGATCAACCACGGAGCTCCGTTGTTCGTGGTCGACGACCCCGAGTTCACGGGCCTGATGGAGCGCTATGTCTCCAAGGGAGTGGTGAAGGAGAGCAGCGCTCAAGTCTACTCGTTGGATTGGAAGACCAAAGGGATGGAGCAAGTGAAGATGGCGAAGAAGTTTGTGGCTCAGCCTGACATGACTTCTCTCTGTGAGTCCCTGCTTGAAGGTGTACAAGTACAGTACCAGGTATTCCTCCCACAAGGGCTTTCGACCTCATTGTAAACATTTGCAGACTCAGGTATCGGAGATTTCAAAGAGGGATGGCGAGTGGGTCTTCTTCGACAAGGAGAAGGTTGATGAGGAAGGAGGGCACGAAGATGCCGCTGACTCTGCATGAAGAAGGAGGTTGGTAGATTCGATTGGTGTGTGGTCACCAGTCACACCGTCGGACACAAACGCTGGGAGCAAGTGTTCGGCTCGCCGCCGCCTCTTCAGAAGCTCAGGTTAGTCGATTCTTCCTTGATGCGCTGAGACTGACCGTTGAGAATGAAATATCTCCTTCACAGCCAAGAGTTCCCAGCGCTCAACTCGCTGGTGGGAGAGCTGCAGGCTGTGAGATCATCGCCGGTCATGGTGGCGATGCTCGCCTACCAGGGGGAAGGAGCAGACATGATCGACTCTCTTCCGTTTGACGTGCTGGATGTATCCCATCATGATGTGATCTCACGAGTCATCCGCAACAACGTCGGGGGATTCTCCTCCCTGGTACTGCACTCCACCCATGACTTCGCTCGCAAGTACGAGGAGGTCTATGGGTCGACGAGTGCTGCTGCGAAGCTGTCGGACAGATGGAGGTCGGAAGAGAACAAGGAAAAAGAGAAGATTGTCCTCGAGGAGCTATGCAGGAGCGGAGAGGCGCTGCTCAAGGAACTTGGCTATGACCTGCCCAAGGTAGTAGCTTCTCCTGTCTCCTTTGTTGCCATGCCAATGACCCGCCAATAGAAAGCTTCCTTCGGGCCGATCCTTCATCGATGGGGCTCAGCCTTCTGTGCGGGAAGCTTGACTGAGACCTCCAACGAAGAGATGAAGATTGCTGTCTGCGGGGACTTCACAAGTTCTGGACTGGCTGATATCTATCATGGGTATTCACTGACTTCTTCCTCGCCTCCTTGCTTCCATGCGCTCCCTGGCGACTGACTTCTCTCTTGACAGGGTGCAGGCGGCAGGCATGAGCGGCCTTACCGCTGCTCACAAGATCCTCTCGCGGCTCTGAGGTCTCCCAGGTGCTCGGGAATCTGCTCGAGACATCAAGACCCGGAGGCGTCTCGATCGGTGCATACCTCGAGGAAGCTGACGATGGCTTCTGCTGGGGACATGACGGAGGAGGTGGAGGCAGCGGAGGTGTTGACAGGCGAAGAGATGTCTTCCTGGTCGAGCCTCTGCTCCACGCACCAAGACATCAACAGAACGCCTCTCCACCAGGACGAGCTCACCGCAAGGAGATCCTAGTGACGATGTGGCCGTCGTGAGGACAGCTGTAGGTGGGGAGGATAAGGAGAGAGAGACTTTTGAAGTTGACGATCCCAAGAAGAGCGTGAGAAGAAGCGTCACGGAAGGGATCAGAGCGACATTGTGTCAAGATGAGCGCAAAAACCCCTGCTCTCTTAGCTCGAAGCGTCATAGTCTACCTTGTCTTTGACACAGCAAGCATGGAATGGCTTATCTGTGTGGTGTGACTTGCAGTGTTCATTTCACTCTGAGGGTCAAAGCGAATCGTCAGATTCTTTCATCTCCAACACCAATGGTGGAAAACTTGATACACAACAGATAATCTTTTTACATGAGGAACCCGTAACCCACTTCAAAACATTTTGAGTGTTCTTGAGTGTCTGTATCATCCAGCATCTGTCTCCTGCTGGTCCACCCAAAGGTACTAGTACGGGTTATGGTAGCTGACATAAGTGCTGTGACCGGTGTTGTACCCCGAGTTGTACGCGGTGGTGGAGTATAGGGTGCTGGTGTAGTCATAGGGGGAATGTCCGGAGGAAGCTGAGTTGTATCCGCAGTCGTAGTATGCTTGCAGGAAGGACGGAGGAGTTGGAGTACTAACATATAGTTGGTAGATGTATAAGCCTCCATATTCATAGTTGGTAGATGCATAAGGGAGGGATGGGCTTTCGCGAGGATAGACGGTCGTGAGGGGGAGCGGAAAGAGGAGGGGAGGGATTATGGAGAGAAGAAGCTAGATGGAAGAGAGGTGGTAGAGGAAGCAAGGGAAGGGGAGGGGGAGAGCACCGGTACCTGGCGCATGTGCTTGATGAGTTTGGGTAGGGGGTGGAGGCGTCTGACAACAAACCACGCGTGTAATCAACTTTAAGACGTGGATAATGACGTGATACAATACAACTAATCATAGCATAGAATTACTGTAACCATTCTACAGACCATCATCGATACAAGATTTTGAAAGCATAATCAAACATCAGGTTCCTTTTTCAAACGTAAGGTTCCTTTTTCAAACATCAGATTCCGACGAGGAAGCGCTTACGGACGACTCGCTTGCAGCAGGATGCTCGCGGGTAAATGGCTGGCTGCTCAGAGCTGAAACGGGAGGAGGGCCGTCGACCCGAGGTTTGCTCGTCTCCGACTTCGACGCTGCAACTCCCTTCGGCTGGACAGCAGGGCTGGGTTCATGCTTGGCAAATGCAACGCTTGCCACAGGCATTTGAGCCTCCATATCATGAGCTGGAGTCGAGCTGCCTGTTGTCCATTCGTCGGGATGACAGCATAGCGAGCACATGATGATTGAAGACGTGAGCTGTACAACGAAGAGCATGAAGCTGAATACAAAGATCGCCCATGCACTGCCAGTGAATGTCGAGCAGAACTTGCCGTATATCTCGTATTCATCTGCAGAAATCACAAAGCCGTCAGCGCCTCTATCCAGCTTACAGCACTTGCAGACAACTCACCACAAACCACTGAGGCAAACAATCCGAAGTAGAAGGAAATGATCATGCTAGTCATCAACAAAAGGATGTCAATGATCAGGTACGCGAGGTGAAAGCCTCCCAGCAGCTTCGTTCGCATGCGGCTGAACGCGATCCCAAGACCTCCGAAGACGAGAGTGAAGATACCAGGAACGATTCCCCATACTCCTAAGAAAACGAGGAAAGACTTTGCCTCACTGTTGTCACTGTAACAACTTGAGTAATAGTATTTGTATGAATATGAGCTGCTGCTGCTGCTGCTGCTGCTGCTGCTGCTGCTTCCGTATGAGCTCGACGTCTGTGAGTAGGAGCCGCTGTAGTACCCCGCGTTGTAGCCCGAGTTGTACGCCGAGGGCATATCTTGATTGTAGTCCGAGGTTGAGGATTGGTCTGCTCTGTCGCTGTTGTAGTAGCCCGAGTAATAGCCTGTGTTGTAGTAGCCTGAATAGCCGTAGGTGTCATAAATGCTATGACCGGTGTTGTACCCCGAGTTGAAGCCCGCGTTGAAGCCCGAGTTGTACGCTAGCCTGTAGGTGGTCAACGCGTCTCCCTGGTCGTATCCGTTGCAGTATCCGGAGTTGTATCCGGAGTTGTATCCAGAGTTGTAGTCATAGCTATGCCCCGACAAGGCGCTCGAGCTGTATGCTCCGCTTTTCCCGGTGTAGTAGGCGGTGGAGTACAGGGTGCTGGTGTAGTCATAGGAGGAGTATCCGTTGTTGATGCTGGAGTAAGCGGAGTTGTATCCGTAATTGTAGTATCCCTTGTTGTATCCGGAGTTGTATCCGTAGTTGTATCCGTCATTGTAGCTTGACCTGAACGTCGTGTCGTATCCTTTGTTGAAGCCCTTGTTGTATCCGGTGTTGTATCCGGTGTTGTATCCGGTGTCGTAGTTTCCGGAGTTGGAGGAGGAAGAGCTGCTGCTGCTCGAGGATGAAGACGGAGACGGGCAGGCTGGGGGCTTATAGGCGGCTGGGACCACTCCAGCAATGAACAAGGCGAACCCGAGCACCATGCTCACGATGGTCGCAGGAAGGACGGAGGAGCTGGAACACTTACACATATCGGGTGGATGTACGAGGCAGGAGGGATGGGCTTTTACTAGCAAGGCAAGAGAGGAGGAGCGAGGGTAAGTATATGAAGAGAAGGATAGGGGGCATGGGGTTGGGTGGTTTTCGGGTAGTGATGGGGTAGGGTCCTCTCTACCGCCTGGGACATGGTTTATGTCACTACGACTCGTCAGGACTCAGTGAGCCCTCAAGCTTGTAGCAGTTTTCGCTGCCTCCTCTACCGACCTAGTATTTTGGTGAGGCGGGTCGATACGGTACGGTCCGAAGCTGAACTTCGGAAAGAGAAAAGGCAAACTTGCCCGGCGGAGCAAACTTGCTTCTTTCACTGGCCAAGGAAGAGGACTTGACTCTCAAACACGGGAGTCGCCGGCGGCTGGGCCAACTTCGAGTCCGCCTCTTTTGTGCGGTTGAATCCATTTGAATCAAAGGCGAATCAGTTTGAATCAGGCTCAATCGATGTACCAGCAGCATGGCGAGGGAGGCGTAGGAGGCGAACTTGCTATCGGAAGAGGCAGGAGAGACCGCGAGTGAAGGAGAGGAGGCCCTGTATTTCCAATATCTCAACTCATGGAAGTGAAGATGCAAGAGACAAGCGTGTCATCTCGTATTTGGCAGTTGTGGTGAGTATACTCGTGTGGCTACAAATCTGGTACAAGCATGGATTGCTGCCTCTCTTCATTCTCGAACAGGATAGGATTCTCAATTATCAAATGCATCTTTATTTACTTGTCAGTCCAGCTTCTTGCTGTCACATCAGACATGAACACAAACATGCTCATGTTGTCATTTGCTGCTTGGAACTACTACATGGTGGACAAGGACGCGTGCGCCTGTCCTCAAGAAGGCAGTTGCAAGAGAGTGTTTCTTGTGCTGAACTGCCTTTCGGAATCGTGTGAAAGTTATTTTGTTGCGAAAGTACTTTCTCGGGCTGATGCTCACGTCTTGTGCCTGTATCTGCTCACTGAAGTGCTGGCCATGGATCAAGTCTTGTTGCAATTATTTGTTGATGAGCCGATAATCGACTCCCGCAGCAAAGGAAGAGATGGTTCAGGTTGGGAGCAGAGTCCGTCTGCATGCGGTAGAGCTTCACGTATCTTGTTTGATGCCTTTCGCTTGTTGATCATCCTTCCCGACAATCTGCCTGCCCTTGTTGACAGGTCTCTCAAGAATCAGCTGGACGAATTCCTCCCTGTCGGGGCGTTTGATATTCGATCCTTCACGGTGACAATGGCAGAAGAGAAACATGCCGACTATGAAGCTGGACCTGAGGTGAAAGGAGGGAATTTCAAGCTCGTGTCTTCAGTAGCCACTCATATCGACATGGCTTCAATCCAAACGAAGCAAGTAAGTCACGGTCTCTTCCTGCTGCTGGTTGTCACTGATTTGGCAAGGTTGTGAGCATCGAAGGATTGACTTGGGAATATCTGATCAAAGATAGTCCCCTTTGGAAGGGATGGAGCCAAATGCTGAGCAACACTGAAGGAACCGTGTCCAGTTCATTGTCGTCTTCGAATTCGGTTGCCTTCTCCTTGAACTTCAATTGTGCATCTCTGATTTTGAATGTCTCAAAGACAAGTGATGGTTGGCCGCACATGTATGTTAAGGTCAAGAATGTCGTCGATGCTCCTTCACTGCAGGCCCTAGGGAGGTGAGGAAAAATGTTGTTGGAACGACACTTCACAACTTGACAAGATTCTTGGTAGGGTTGTAAATGAGAACGTGCAAGATGTGATGCGTTGTATCTTGATGAAACGGCAGAACGAGAGGAGCGAACAGATCAGCCAGAAAGTCGAAGCGCACCTGTCGAATCACTACAGCAAACTACTCTTGGTTGACTTCAAACACAACAGAAAACTTGAGGAAATATTGAGCTCAAGCATCATCCTATTGCGATATGCATTAACGAATGGCCAGAATATCACGAGATATCAGACGGAAATCCTACGACGGGGAGGCTCTGCCATTGTCATTCCATGCGACACGGATCATTATGTTTCCATCAATCTTGACTTGGTCCGCAAAGATTTCTCGTTCTCACATTTATTTCAATCTGCAACGGGCAAGTGTGTTTGGAAAGGAGCTGTGATCGATTTTTCTAATGCGAGCCATCATGTCGATGAACGTTGGAATGTCAACGGCGAGGAGCTGCAAGCGAGGATGAGCTGTTTGGATGTTTTGCTCCCTCTTCAGGCCTGCCCTCGAGAGATCAGGAGGGGCAGAACGCTCCTTGTGGATATCAACATTCTTAGCTTCTACTGGAATATAGGACATGATGGAGCAGAAGAGTTCCTCTTCGAAATGATGATCGACCAGCATGCGAGCTTGACGCCCCCCCTTTCATGTCCAGCGCGAGGCCATGGGCCAAGAAGTATGATGGACAAGAATGATGCCCGAGTTGTCCTTAGCCATCATGGCATGTTAGAAGACGAAGATACGTCGGAACTGTTGATTCGCGCAGTCATTCACAAGCCCCAAGATCCAGAAGCATGTCTCACTGCCAGCGGCAGAGTCGCACTCGCTCTGTCATGCTGTCGCTACGGCATTTGCCGGGTGGAGCTCAAGAATGGAGAGCAGCAAGCAGGATTTATCATCTTCACGTTTACTCTCAGCGAGGTTGACGGTGTAGAAGACAAGAAGGTTATGGATAGTGTGGGGAAGAGGAGACCACACGCCTCTTCTACCTCCCACTCGCACGCTCCACATGCTGGGACAGGCGAGCATCGCAGCCCGGCAGCCCCACCGAGAGGAGAGAGCGCGCAGGAGTCGCATCTGTCGCCACCTGATACGCCGGCAGGCACACTCATGCAGCATTGCATTCAAAGTCTCTCGCCTATTGAGATGGAGGGTTGTGACGTCTCCACCTGCGACAGGTTTTTTCGTACCAGTCTTCTCTTCTTCGTGTTGCCCTTGTCTTCCCCGCTCTCCCTCCCTCTCCCTCTCTCCCCCCCCTGCCCCCTGTTTTGCATTCTTGGCTCTTTACCTCTCTCTTTCTCTGTCTGTACCTGCGCGATTTTGCCTGTGTCTGCGCCTCCATTCCTACCTCTATCCGTCTGCACCACCCGTAGACCTCTCTCCCTTTTCGTCCATCTGTCTGTGTCTGTCTTGCTGTCCCGCTCTGACTCCTCCCGTCATTATCTCTCTCCAACCCTCGTCTCCATAATCCCCCCCCACAACACACACAAACAAACGCTCCAACCCTATTGTGCTCTCCTCTCCTTCCAACTGTCTTGCAACTTGTCGAGCACTTGCTCATTATTTTGATGCCGAGGCAATTGTTTCTCCTCATCTTGCTCTAGATTGTATTGTCTTCTCTGTGCTGCCATCGCACCTTTTATCCTTAATATTATCTCCTTCTCCCTCTTCTTTCTCCTCCTGCCGCTGTGTCGCTCCGATCCCTTCCGTGACGCTTTTTTCCTCACGCTCTTCGCAGGATCGTCAACTTCAAAAGTCTCTCTCTCCTTATCCTCCGCACCTACAGCTGTCCTCACGACGGCCACACAGTCTACGTCTTCCAGTGTCGGCATGAGGACGTTACTTGGGAGATCCGCAGGAGGTACAAGGACTTCCACATGCTCCACCAGCGTCTCCAGCGCTTTCTCGACGTCTCCTCCCTCCGCTTGCCGTCCAAGCAACTTTTCGGCAGCCATAGCGACCGCGTAATCTCGCACCGGCGGCAGGCCCTCCTCAAGTATCTCGAGGATCTCCTTGCGGTGAGCTCGTCCTGGTGGAGAGGCGTTCTGTTGATGTCTTGGTGCGTGGAGCAGAGGCTCGACCAGGAAGACATCTCTTCGCCTGTCAACACCTCCGCTGCCTCCACCTCCTCCGTCATGTCCCCAGCAGAAGCCATCGTCAGCTTCCTCGAGGTATGCACCGATCGAGACGCCTCCGGGTCTTGATGTCTCGAGCAGATTCCCGAGCACCTGGGAGACCTCAGAGCCGCGAGATGATCTCGCAGTGGTAGAAGATCAGCGCGTAGACCGGCTGGTAGAATAGCTAGTTGAATAGGTGGTACACTAGATTAGTCTGATGTTGAGACTCCATCATTGAAAAGGTTCTGTTGCTACTTCCCTCCAATCGATTCTTTCGGAGAAAATTTCGCGAATTTTGCCTTCCAATCGATTTTCAGCAGGATTTCTGAGGATTTCGCACATAGATATGGTAGGGGACCCATAGTATCAAACCTCTCTTTAGGATTTGGGATGTGGCGGGGGTCCATTCACTGCCTAACGATGGCGCGCTCATGTTGGAGTGTTGCACAGCATATGCTTCATGTTGCTTGCAATGAAAACCTACTGGTTGTGATATGATGTTGCTTCAAGCTGCTTGCAATTAAAACCTGCATCGACTTAACTGCAGTAGGTGCGAAAGGATACGTGTTGATGGCAATGTTTTTCTACCCCCTTCAAGAAGCAACCGGTACTAGCATCTTTCAGGGGTATAGAGGGGGTGGGGGTGGCCTGCTAAGGCTCTTGGTGACATTTGCGATGCGTCAGGCCCTACACGCTTCCTTCGCCTGGGCGCAGGTTGACCAGCATGGACCCCTGGGTGCAAGGTGAAGTAGAGAGGAGGGTAGGGGATGTAGGGGATGTAGAGGATGTAGGGGATGTAGGGGATGTAGGGGAAACATAAGTGGAGCAGGTGCGAGTGCTTCGCCATCACAACTTGCTCCATTGCTTCAGTACTCGAACATACCCACAGCTACCAACCATGTGCAACTGTTCCATGACTTCTATCTTTCCTGCGACCATCGTGAGCATGGTGCTCGGGTTCGCCTTGTTCATTGCTGGAGTGGTCCCAGCCGCCTACACGCCCCCAACCTGCCCGTCTTCGTCTTCATCCTCGAGCAGCAGCAGCTCTTCCTCCTCCAACTCCGGATACAACTCTGGATACAACACCGGATACAACTACGGATACAACAAGGGCTTCAACAAAGGATACGACACGACGTTCAGGTCAAGCTACAATGACGGATACAACTACGGATACAATAGGGGATACAACAAGGGATACTACAATTACGGATACAACTCCGCTTACTCCAGCGTCAACAACGGATACTCCTCCTATGACTACACCAGCACCCTGTACTCCACCGCCTACTACACCGGGAAAAGCGGAGCATACAGCTCGAGCGCCTTGTCGGGGCATAGCTATGACTACAACTCTGGATACAACTCCGGATACAACTCCGGATACTGCAACGGATACGACCAGGGAGACGCGTTGACCACCTACAGGCTAGCGTACAACTCGGGCTTCAACGCGGGCTTCAACTCGGGGTACAACACCGGTCATAGCATTTATGACACCTACGGCTATTCAGGCTACTACAACACAGGCTATTACTCGGGCTACTACAACAGCGACAGAGCAGACCAATCCTCAACCTCGGACTACAATCAAGATATGCCCTCGGCGTACAACTCGGGCTACAACGCGGGGTACAGCAATCGCCGTGCTCTCACAAACCTTCTTGGAAGTTTGAGATGGATTCAAAAAAGCACCAAAAACAAGATCAACAACAGCAACATTTCTACTTCAACCATTCGGTCTTCGGACTATTACTACTATAGCTTTTCGACTTGTGAACAAGACAGAAGGGACGCAAAGGCTGGGCTCTTGCTTATAGGAATATGGGGACTCGTTCCTGGTATCTTCACTCTCGTCTTCGGAGGTCTTGGGATTGCGACCAGTAAGTTTCGAAACAAGATATGGGGAGGTTTCCACCTGGCATTCCTAATCTGCGATATCTTCTTGTTGTTAAATGCCATGTCTTTTGCTATCATATACGCGCTTTTCGCCACTACTTTTTGCGGTACGTTGTCATGATGACAATGCTAAGTAATTAGTATGCTGATAAGTTCTTGCTCTCAGGTGACTACGAGATATACGGCGGGAGCAAGTTCTGCTCGACATTCACTGGCAGTGCATGGGCGATCTTTGTATTCAACTTCATGCTCTTCGTTGTACAGCTCACGTCTTCAATCATCATGTGCTCGCTATGCTGTCATCCCGACGAATGGACAACAGGCAGCTCGACTCCAGCTCCAGCTCATGATATGGAATCTGTGATGCCAGTTGCAAAGCCTGTGGAGGCTGACCTGGAGCAGGGAGGAGTCCCTTCGAGCTCCTTGTCTGAGAGAGGAGTGGCACTACACGCAAAGTCTGTCGGAGCTGCGCATTTAGATCAAGTCGCGTACTTACAAGTAGGGGCAAGCGCTAAGAAAGTAGGAGAAGCAGAGCGGAGGGCGAGCAGTGGGAGCGACTCAAGCGACTCAACCTGAGCTGCTAACAAGAGAGGAAAGCAGGCCCTGTAAGCTTCCGTGCCACACATACTCAGCCGAGAATGGAACTTGTCCAAAGGCGTAGATCGATCAGACTGAGGAATCTTCACTTGCGCACTTGCAACATGTACAATTAGAAACAAAATGATGATAATGATGCAGGCGTTGTGAAAATGATCATTTCTTTCGATGTCTTTTCTCTTTCTATTCTCGAGCAGTCGTTGGTCTCACTGCCACTTTTGATTCCTTTATGAACAAGACCTTTATCAGCCCGTAATGTTTGTAATGAACTTGGCTGCGACTCACAACTGCTGTCTTCCACTGCGATTCGTTTCACACGCTTGAACCCAGCAAGTCACAGCCATGACTCTCCATGACCAGCAAGTGGAACGTGTAGCGACGTCACCTCAGTCACATTATGCTGGGATCACGTCGGCGATCAGATCTAGTATCTCTCTACACTTGCTCGGGCTTGTTGTCGGCGTGACCATGACGTACATCACGTTCCCAAGAGGTCGCAAGAAGATGCCCCTGCCGCATGCTCTCAGCCTCTTCCTCCTCCTACACCAGCACAACCTCTCTCTCAGCTTCTCCACGTAGGGCTTGGCTAGGGAAGAGGCGTACCCCTCGAACGCCTGTTCGGAGCTCCCAACAGTCTGCAGCTCAAGAACAAGTACGGTGCCAAGAGGAACGACTCTGAAGGAAGTCAGAGCGACCAGGCCCGCGAGTCAGACTACCTCTTGACCACTGCTCGCTGGGAGAGCGCGACGACTTTGTCCATGGGCCAGAGCTCCACCAGCTGGGAAGGATGAGAGGAGAAGGCGAGATGGGAGGGAGAAGACCTTGTCCTGCTTGGCGGAGAGGTTGGGATTGAGCTCGGGATCTGAAAAGATGTCGAAGGCAGCGATGGCGACGGAGCAGCTGCTGGAGGTGAGGACGAGGCAAACTGACGCTAGCGTGCTGACCCGATGGGATGGGCGGTGTAGGAATGGCCGTGCAGCAGAGCTTCGCTCTTCTCGCTACCTGTGAACGCCTGCGACACGAGGATAGTGAGGACAGCAGAGAGAAAGGGAGGCAACAACAGGCAGGGACAGGAAGAAAGTTGGAGGAGTTGCGAGGCAGGCTCGCTCTACCTGAAAGACATCTTCGGAGGCTACCGTGAGCGCCAGAGGGACCGTTCCTCCTGTGAGAAGCTGGCAGGACCAGAGGTCATCAACTCGTCTTGCAAAGAGCATAGGACAGGACAAGAGAGCAGGCAAAGCCGAGGAGGGCACAGGGAGGGGAGCAGCAAGGAAAGCGACAAGAAGGGATCAAGGTAGGAAGCAAGGGAGTGCGCAGAGGGAAAGTGTCATAACCTTTGAATAGCAGGCAATATCAGGATGGAAGCCTCCCATGCTACAGGCTGTTTGCATTCCAAGCCTCCACATGCCGCTGAAGACCTCATCGGCTATGACTGGGATGCTGCAAGCCTAGTCACGCCTCCGCTGCTTGTCGCAGACAAGAGAGGCACCGGCGCTTCGTCGCCTCCTCCGCGAGGATGCGCTGAAAGAGAGGGTCGATGAAATCCATCCCTCCAGCTCCATGCATGGCGATCTCGAGGACCAGAGCTCCTATCTTGATGTTCTGTCGATATGCGTCAAACACTTGCTGGTCACATGAGATTAGTCGCCTCATCGGGCAAGTTGTCGAAATGTGACGTGATATACTTTCTGTGCGATGCAGTGAGAGCCAAGAACAAGCAGAACAGAAAGGAGCACATATGAAGAGGAGGATGGGAAAGGGCACGTATGAAGAGAAGGAGGGGGAGAGGCACATATGAAGAAGAGGAACATGGATCACCTGTACGACGTGGCCAGGGAGGACACCGAACGCTTCGGCATGTCAAGAGCTGCTTCCCAGCTGCTCCCGCACATCAGACTTGATCAATGCTAAGGAACACAGACCTTGCAAAGGTCAAGTTCGAATCTTGCTCGGTGACTGAAATGCAGCGGTGTTACGGTATAGAAGAAAGCGCGGGGGGGGGGGGAAGTTCAGGGAAGGGAAGGGAAGGGAGAGAGGAGGAGAAGGGAAGGGAAGGGAAGGGAAGGGAGAGAGGAAGGGAAGGGAAGGGAAGGGAAAGAGGAGGAGAGGAGAAGGGAAGGGAAGGGAAGGGAAGGGAGAGAGGAAGGCGTTCACAGCAGTTAGTCGAAGTGGAACCTTGAGGGATGGCAGACAGGTCGATGCGCCACTCTCCCTTGACGATGGCTAGCGTTGGGATGTCGAGCCAGACACCCTTGGGGTCGTACCAGGGCATCTGCAGGTGATCGAAAGGCCGAAGAAGGTCAAGAACAGAGAACGAAGCAGACGAGCAAGAGGAGGAAGTAGAAAAGGAAGTGGAGGCAGTGGAGGGTGAGGAGGAGGAGGAAGAGAGTGAACGTGAGGACCACCTGCTTGAAGCCTGTGAACACGGACGGGGCTTGCGCGTTCATGGCTCCAAGAGTGTCTCCATGATACGACCCCTTGAGGCCCATGATGCGGACCTGCACGAACCAAACTCAACAGTCAGCGATCTGACATGTCACGGGACTAAACCTCCACCTCCTCCTCTCAGTCCCTCAGTCTCTTGCAGTCTATACTGATCGTGCTGCCTGACTCCTCCTCCCTCTCCCTGCCCCCCTCCTCCTCTCACCTTCAACTTCGACAGCTCCTCTGGCGACTTCTGCTCAGCAAATGCTCAGCAACATCCCAACCTCAGGAGAGGTCGACCTCCAGCAGCGAGTGCGTTCGCATGAACTTCCTCATAGCCATCTTCAGCGCGACCTGCAATCCAATTACTCTCCTCGCCCTCCTACCACCTGCAGCCACAACCTCCACAGCAGTTGACCCGTCATCTGAGAAGAACACTCTCGAGCCCCAGCCCCTCGCTGGTCCTTTCAAGATCCGCTCGGTCAGCTGCCAGCGAACAGTTCAGTCTCCTTCCCTCCTCTCCTCCGTCTCTTATCACTGACGCCTCCTCCGTCCTCCTTCTCTTGCCTGTAAAGCTGCCTCATGCGAGTTCTCTGGGAACAGAACATGGCCATATCTCCCACATCCATACGCTGTAGTCAAGATCAACATATGAAGGCAATCACAAAGAGCCGACGGACAGAAGGAATAGGAAAAGGGATGGGAAGAAGGAAAAGCAGGAGCAGGAGCAGGAGCAGGAGCAGGAGCAGGAGCAGGAGCAGGAGCAGGAGCAGGAGCAGGAGCAGGAGCAGGAGCAGGAGCGGCGGAGAAGTAGGCTGAGCAAGATCACCGAGAGCTTTCGTTAACAACTGGTGGAGTCTCGCATCCACTCCCTTGAAGTTGGTCACTTCGCTAGAACTCCTTCCCCAACTCGCCACACCTGCGTCCACCAAGACGCTGCCCCGTCCATCCAGCGGAGAAGTGCGGGAGGAGCCTCCCGGCTCATCGAACCCTTGGAGTAGACCCACCTGGTAAGACAGCATGAGCACAGCAAAGAAGCATGGATGCATGGAGGGGGAGGAGGAGGAGGATGAGAGAGGAGGAGGAGGAGGAGTCGAACGAGAGGAGGAGCAGGATGAGGAGGAGGATGAGGAGGAGGAGGGCAAGAGGAGCATGTGCCACCAGTCCTCTCCAGCGCGAGCATCAATGTGTGTGACCGACTGCACGAGGTCATGCTGAGTGAAGGGCCACCAGACGGAGCTTCTCGCTCGCTCCTCTGCAGACTGAAACAAAACATGTCAGAAATCCAAGGAAGAGGACGAGGAGTGAGAGGAGACGGAGGGAGGAGAGGGAAGGGAGAGAGATAGGAGAAGAGAGTTGAAAGGGAGGAGAGAGAGCGGAGGGGGACAGTGGAAGGGAGTCGCAGACCGCAAGAAGCTGCAGGCGTTCTTTGTGATCCGCCTCCATCAACTTAGTGACCTGCAGCCAGTCAGTCACCGTCTTCCTCCTCTTACTCCTCCTCTTGCTCCTCCTCTTGCTCTCCCTAATGCACTCTTCTGCCCGCCCAATCATGGTTTGCTCTTACTCAATACTTTCAGTCTACTACAGTTCCTGCCTCAAATCTCATCGTTATTCTTTCCTCTCAACTTTTCTAGAACGATTCTCACTTCTTTCCTTTCACTTCCTCTCCTCACCCCATCCTTTTCTTCTCTCCCCTTCCCTTGCCTTCCATTCCCCTCCCACTCTTTCAAACCTTTTCGAACTTGTCCTGGCACTGCAGAAACCATGACCTCAGGGCAGCAGCGGAGAAGTTTGATCTCCGGCGAGGGAGAGGAGGCAGGCCGAAGACTGGAATGCTGCCAGCCAGCACAGTCACACTCTCTCCTCAGCAGCCAGCTCGCAACCTTTTCCCTGTATACCCTCCAAACCCTTTCTTCACCATCTGCAACACGAATATGAATAAGAAGGTAAGAGTTTGAAGTGAAAGGACCACAGGGAGCATGAACTCGGAAGTGGCAATGCCGGTGGTGAACGAGGAGGAGATTGAAAGAGGAGAAGCAGGAAGGTTGTAGCACAGGTGACAGTATTCGAGTTGAAAGTGGAGGAGGAGGAGGAGGAGGAGGAGGAGGAGGAGGTGGTGGTGGTGGTGGTGGTGGTGGAGGAGGCGGAGGTAGTGGTGGTGGAGGAGGAGGATGTTACATTTGCGACTGCTTCCTCGTTTCTCAGCCCCATGTCGAGCATAACGATGCAAGAGATGTCTATTCCCCGCAGGAGCAGACTCTCCATCGCTACAAGGCACATGCATAACAATCACTTCCTCCTGCTCCCCTGCCCCCTTGCCCCCCCTGCCCGCCTCGCACTTCGCTCTTTCTCCAAAACCTCTCCAACTCCCTCTCTACCCCTCCAATCCTTCTCGCCTCCTCCTCCTGTCCCCATCCCCTTGCCTGAGACTGTGCTTGATATTCCTCCGATCTGTCCGTCTCCTATTAGGATCCCCGGAAGTCGCAAGTCCCGCAGCAAGTCCACTTGGCTGGTGCCCGAAGGGGCAGGACTGTTGACCTGTGACCGAGTCACTGCCCCGAGAGCTCGCAGCGTCTCCTCCTCACAGCGCCTGCTGTCTCGATGATAGCAAACTTCTTCGCGCCTCCCCCTCTCTCCCCGAAGGTGCTCAGCTCCTCTTGCAGCCGCTGCAGAATCTGCTCGTCGGAAACTGCCCTCCCCTCCATCTGCACGGCCAGGTGGGGGCCGACAGCATGCGACCAGGCGAACTCGGTCCTTGCCAGCACGTTGCATGCTTGATCTTGGTGAAGAAGATCAGGGAAGTACGAGACTTCAGGTCCGTTGATCAAGATCTGGGACGCATGCTCTCCCACCTTGGCCAGAGCTCAGGGGTGGCAAGGAGGTGGGGGATGGGGGGTACCTCACTCCTTCCTCCGCAAACAGCAGCTACAGTGTCTGCATCTGAGTCTTCAGGGAATCCTGTTTGAACGGGCTTGATGAACATGACAGACCTCTCCTGTCATGAAGGATCACCACAACCCGTCTGCCGACCATCCTTGCCTGATCCTTGCTAAGAAAGTTGCAGATTCCTGCTGATATCAAAGTCTTTCCCACATTGGTGCCGGAGCCCCACACGACATACGAGGGGATAGACAAGTTTAAGCTCCTAGGCTGCGGTCTCTGCCTCTTGTGCGACTCCCCGTCCGAGGAGAGAAATCGAATACCCTGTTTGGTTCGCAAATCGATGAAAAGCTTCAGCCCTGGCTTGAATGATGTTCTCGAGACTTGTCCGAGCATCCTGAGCACACATGAGCACATATTACAAACTCCTTCATTTCAGATGCTCATCGCAGTAGAGAAACATTGCTGTAGGCCTCCACACACCGGCTCTCTACCAGTATCGTACCAACTGTGTCGTCTCCTTCTCTCCCGAATCGCCTCCACACACCCCAACCTTGTCTCTCATGAGGAGACTTCTCATCCTCATCCTCATCCTCATCCTCATCTTCATCCTCATCCTCATCCTCATCCTCATCCTCATCCTCATCCTCATCCTCATCTTCATCCTCATCCTCATCCTCATCCTCATCCTCATCCTCATCTTCATCCTCATCCTCATCCTCATCCTCATCCTC